AGGCTGAGTTAGGAGTTGGCGCGTTTCTCCTTCTGGGAGGTCTTCAATCAGTGGATGGACGACCACCCATCAGACAAAGCATGCAAAGGATTCTTGTTCAAGTAAAGCTCAGGCCGATGCCCTCTATAAGCCCTTCCAACTCAGAGACTCAGTCTGTGAAGGGAGGAAGTGGCATCAGACAGAACTAGAAGATGTCCGAGCGGTAGATTTCAGCTCAATAGAAAGACTACCCCATGACCATCAGAACTGTCCAAGAGTGGAACAGGCTGCCTCAGTGGGCAGGAGGTTCCACTAATAGGTCCTGGCCAAGTGCTCGGTGGGTACCTTGGAGAGGGGTGTGGAATGGGCTGAATGGCCTCAGGGGTCCTCCCCAACTCTAAAATGTCGTCATTCTGGGACCCAGGAGGAGTGTTGCACAGGACATGCGTTGTGAGCCCAGAAGCACTTGGATCATTATTATCACGCAGTGCAAGGAGAAAGGGTGATTAAGTCTGCCACTGTCTCATCAATCAAAAATATAACCACACTTGGAAGTCCGAATTATTTAAATAGAGTCCTGTGGCAATAGCTAATTTTATATTATATGTAATATGGATTAGCCGTCTTCATTGTCCCCACGGAAGTTCTTCTGTCCACATCCCTCCCTTCCGAGCAGGAATACAAGGCAGTAAAGCCCAGTGCCAGGATTAGCCCTCTAGCCCTTGCCACCTAGATCCGGGATCAATGCTCCAGAGACAGCATGCTTACCGCTTCCAAGCTCAACTGCTCAGTCACGGGACATCCCTCAAGCTCCCCAAACTCCCCCTGGCAATGGCGAGGAACCTGCCTCCCACCAAAGAAAGGATCCCAGGGTCACAGACAAAGAGCTGGAAGGAACCTTAGACTTCATCTAGTCCAAATGGCTCAGGTTAGAGGTCGCTCAACATTTATGAAGTGCCTACTCTGTGCCAGGCACTGGGCTAAGTGCTGGGGATGAGGAGCTCACGGTCTAACGGGGCAGACAGAAGGTTAAGTGACTGGTCAAAGGTCACACAGGGGGGTAGGATCAGAGTGGGGGTGGGGGTGGGGGTTCAAACCCAAATCTTCTGACTTCCCGGGCCAGACAGCTCCCCACTGCACCGCACAGTGTGGGAGGCTGGAAAGAGAGTCAGAATACAGAGACTGCAGACCTCCCTCTGCTGCAGACTCTCTGGCCTAGAGCGAGAAGGGTATCCAGACACAGGCTAACCCTAAACCCAAACCCAAGCCTTCTCACTCCACAAATGAGGACGTGGAGATAGCAGAGAGAGTAAATGACTTAGGGGAGTATTCAAACACATATGCCTGAGCGCAGAGCTAATGCTTCCTCAGTTGTATGTCTAGGCCTCAGTGTCATTGACTGTAAAATGGAAATAACTGCTCCCTACCTCACAGGGTAATTGTGAGAAACCAACAGGGTAGTGTTTAGGAGACACGATTATTAGTATTAATTTATCCAACTCCTTTGTTGAATTTTTCATATTCTCCATCGGTTACCACCAGACTGACCCTATTTGGTGATAAGTTCAAGGGTGAGAAGAAAAGTAAATGTTATATCATCATTCCCAAAGTTGTATCAAATCACATTAAATCCATTTTTTAGGTTAGAGAATTATCTAAATTGCTTGATGCAAAGTTCTTGGAATTAAGCCTTCCTCTGGCAGACAGAAACCAGAAAGACCCCGGTCCCCCTCCCCACCCATCCTTGTTCTCTCTGGATTTTTCTACCACACAGAAGGAGGCCACACAAGCACCATCATCTGGGCAACGCTCACTGAAGAGCTTAATGAATGCAAACTCAATGGGCCCCAAAGAAATTAGGTTAGGTCTAACAAGACAAAGCATTTGGGCAAAAACCAGGTCCTCATTGGAAATGAGTTCTCCCTGTTCTGGTCCCAACGGCCACTGCCGTCAGCCAAGAAATTTGCTCGGCTCATCTGCAAGGCTACGGATGTTCTGTGATGGAACGGGCAGGGAATGAGACGGACAGGTGGCTGAGACATTCTGTGCTGAAACATTCTGAATTTAGACCTGTGATGACACCTAATTTCACTTCTCCTCCATTAGGGGGAAAACTATTTTATTTTTAGCCTCATTTCTGTTTTTACTATCCTCAGGCTTTGGGGCAGAACTAAAGAATGGGCAGATTTCTGAAGGAGGGGGCATCTATCCACAAAGCTGCAATTCAAGGACTGGGGGCGCCAGATCCGGCCCTGAGAAGAGAAGGCTTCAGTCAAGCAGTTTTTCCCTGGATCAATCACTCAGCGGCATCTTTATTCTCCTGCCATTACTTTGGACCCAATGAGCCAAATTCCACCTCAGTAATTGACTCGGCTGCTCAAAGGGGACAGGAAATTCTCAAGAATGAAATTCTGACAAAACAAAGAGAAAACATTTTGATGAGGACAAAAGGATGTTGCCACCTAAAAGCATCAAGGTGGCCGTCCACGAGCTCACCCGCTCAAGCGCTAACAGCGAGAACGACCACAGACTGAGGTTCTTACTTTCAGAAAGCATGGCGGGCAAGGAGTGGTTTCCAATAACCTGCCTAGAGCATGGTGGGGTGTTGGCCTTTTCTGCCATTGTCAAGTAATTGCTGCCCAGGTGACTAAGCAAGAAAACAAAATGGCAGGATCCAAAATGTACTAAATTCAGAATGAATTCTAAGAATAACCAAAAGGGGAGTGTGTGGGTGTCTGGGTGTGGGTGTGTTGGGGGAGGGGGTCAGCCTACGTCACAGGTAAGAGGAAATCCAAGGAATGGCACTTGTACATGGAGTAAATGGGAAAATTCCAAAGGAAATAAGGCAGAAATATTCAGCTTTTAATCTACTTTAGTTTTCTCTACTAAAGGAAAAGGCACACCAGATCTGGAGCCTGAGGAGCGGATGGGGGGAGGGTCCTGGAGAGGGGGTTAAAACATCAACTCTGCTATTTCCCAGCATAACCTTGGGTAAGCCATTTCCCCTTTATATGCCTCATTTTCCTCATCTATAAAAGGAGGAGACTCTACAATCTAATTTCTCAGTTCCCTTCCACTTCTAAATCTCCAACTCACGAGATCTCCAGATGGGGAAGGGCAGAGGCATTAACACAGAAATGGAACTCAAGGTGAAGGAGGAGATGAAAAGAGAGGATCTACCTAGCCTCAATGAGTTCAAGTCACCAGGCCTTGATAAAAACAAATTCTAATAGCTGGCATTTATGTTGAACATTTGCAGAGTGATTTTCATCTATTATCTCATTTAATTCCCAAAAGTAAGTGCTGTTATTATCTTTATAGATAAGGAAACTGAGGCTCAGAGGTGACTTACTGAGGGTCAAACAGGCTGCAGGGGTCTAAGACGGAATTCAAACTCAAGTCTTCCATACATTCTACCACACTGCGTCTATCACCTACAACCATGGTACTGAAAGGACTGATGAACCTAACTGTGGAACCAAGATAGGTGTTTTTTGGAAAAATCATGAAGACCAGGAAAGGTGCCACAAGGCAGACAACAGGAAGGTGTTATCCTAAATTTCCAAAGACAAGAGGAATCTAAATTCTCTTCCCTGTAGTGAGATAAAACCTTACTTTGATTACTAGCAAACTTCTAGCATGTATCCTTAAAGGGGTGGCGTAAGATTATCAGTGAGCCTGAAAAGGGACTTTGGAGGAAAGAGATGGTCATCAAGAGCCAACATGGGTGCATTGAAACAGATCAGATGACCGGAGGATCAAGAGCTGGAAGGGGCCTCAGAGGCCATTCCACAGATGAAGAAACCGAGGCCCTGAGGGGGCGCTCAGTGAGGATCAGGATTCAGAAAGACCTCCATAGGCTGGAATGATAGGTCAAGTCTGAGCAAATGAAATCCAATAGGGACAAACTCCCAGCCTTCACCTGAGAAAAAAAGACCTCAGAGAGCCCAGCCAAAGAACAGTCCAGTTATCTAAGGATGCTTGAAGAGAAAAAGTACATGAAGACGAGGCGACTGACTGCATCCCTGTCCAACTCTGCCCTCCCTGGTCAGGACACATCTGAGCGCCGTGCTTATCTCTGTGTGCCACATTCTGGAAGCACCATGCTAAGCCAGGAGGACTTATTCAAGGATCAGGCGAAGATAGGACTGGGGATGTTTAACCTAAAATGGGGATGGGGAGCAGCAAGGAGGCATTTCTACAAGTATCTGAAGGGCAGTCACATGGAACGCTGCTTGGCCCAGGGAGCATGGCCAGGAGGAGCGGGCAGGATTTACAGAGAGGCGGATTTCATCCTGACACATGGAAAAACTTCCTAACAATGACAGCTTTCCAGAGTCAGAATCAACTGCCTCAGGAAGACTGAGGTCCCCTTTGCTAGAGATCGCTGACCAGGGACTGGGTGACCATTCTCTGAGGGAATTCCTGTTCTGTCTGAGTGAGGTCACTCACCACTAGGAGATACTAAGATCTTGTGAAGACTTCTCAAACCTCATGGAAAATTGAAGTTTGGTTATCTAATTAATTCAGCTACTGAGATCCAGTCTGTAGGAATCTGGCACCATCTGAGGTGGTACCTCTGACCTAGGGACACATACACCTCCAGTCCCTCCTCCACCCAGGTACCAGATGAGAAGAAACTCTAAAAAGGGATAGAGTGGGGAGTAGCAAGCATGGGAAAACAGTGTTTGTACGGATTGGGGAGTGGGGTGTTCTGAGGAAGTACAGCCCCATGTCAGGGCTGCCCAAACTTTTGATAATATGATGCAGCTATACCTGTATCCAAAATATAAACATCACCAGTTCAAAATGAAAGAGACACCCCTGTAGACTGCATAGGAGACCCCAAATAAAGTCTAAAATATTTGGACGCTGGTGACTGGAATAGACTGCAATGCGTTTTGCCTGCCTGTAATATGACGGGAACATATATGTGAGCCAATCCTACAGGGATTCATGGGGGTCTAAGGAAAGGGGACCCAAACCAGATTAAGAGTAACATCACTGCTCTTTCGTTTAAGCAGGTGGAAGAGTCGGAAGTCTGAGTATTCCTATTGAAGTGACCTTGGGCAAGGCGCTTTTCTGGGCTTCGCTCTCCTCGTCTGTAGAATGAGCAGGATGGAACTGATGGCTGCTGTGGCCCCTCCCAGCTGCAGGACTGTGGTCGTGTGAAGTCCCTCCACCTCTTCTGGCCTCAGTTTCCTCTTCAGTGACGTGGTGCATAAAGTGGCATGCAGTAAAGGGCTGCATAAGATGACCTCCTGGGCTCCTTCCAGGTCCAGATACATGAGAGAGGGGGACGGGAGCAGACATTTACACAGCACCTACTACGTGCCAGGCACAGCGGTGAGCACTTCATAAACAGTGTCTCATTTGAGTCTCCTAACAGCCCCGTGAGGTGGGTGCTAATATAATCCCCATTTCACGACTAAGGAAACTGGCGAACAGGGCTGAAGTGACTTACCCAGGGTCATGCCGCTACAACGTGACTGAGGCTGGTTTTGAACTCAAGCCTTCCTGACTCCAGGCCCAGCGCTGTCCATCGCGCCACCGGCTGCCTCGCTATCCCCTCGTCCAATCCCTTCATTTAACAGCTGGAGAAACAGAGGCAGGGAGGATCTTGCCCCGGTCACAAAGGACCACGAGGCTGAGCCAGAATTAGGACCCAGGACGTTTCCTGCACCCAGGACCGAAGCTTACAAGGATATAGACGCGGCCCCCACTTAACAACCCAGACAAAGCAACCCTCACGGCGCCTTCTTTTAGCAAAGGGAGACAGGGCCGGTGACCGAAGAAAACCCACCGCACGTCCGACTGTGTCTGCCACCTCTTGGTGACGTCCGCGCATTCACAGGCCGCGAGGCGGGTCCACGTGGAGACACAAGGCTGTGACACGTGTTCTCATTCATCAAGTCTTCCATGGCCCGTCCACAGGGCTCTGTTTTGTAGAACACACTGAACACAGAACGTGGGATTATTCACATCGTAAATTTGGATCTGAGTCTCCTATTAGTCATCTCCGTCCTTGAGCTCTAGCAAAAGCACCAAGTGTCTGAGGCTCAGCCAGATCCTTCATTCACTCTTCCACTTGACAAGCATTCACTGAGCACCACCCAGGGACCGCAGAGCGGACCAGAGCGGGCCAAGGGAAAGGACAGTCACACGGCTTCCCCTCTTCTCCTCCCCACCCCAGCCTCCAGCAGTGGGTCGGGAAGTTGTATATCCATGGGATAAGACACATTTCCATGACAGGAGAATTACTGGGCAACAGAACCGGAGAACCAAGCCCAGGATGCAGAGAGATGCCAAGAACTGCAAGGGTGGTCAAGGGAAAAATGCCTCTGGGGAGTCTTAATTTGGGGCCCCAACACGCGTTATTTTATCCTCTTGATCACTGTCTTTTAGTGTAATTCATTTCATGCATTTAAAACCATGATTCTGAGGTGGCATCCAGAGGCTTCACCAAAGAGGTCTGTGGCACATGGGAGAGCCTCGCTGCTCAGCAACAGCCCAAGAAAGACTGTCGTTCCTGTGCCCAACTGGTAGGGAATGAGGCTAGAAATGGGTATGTGGAAGAGGCAGGGACAGAGAGAAGGAAGAAAAGAAGAGAGAAGAAAGGAGGGAGGGGGAAAGGAAGAGAGGCAAAAAGGGCAACAGTGAGGAAAATGGCATGCTTTATTTTTTGAATTAAGAATAACAGTTGGCCATATCCATAGCCCTGGAAGGCTTGCCAGGCACATACTTAATAGCAACCCTGTAAGGTAGGTGGTATCGCAACCTACTTTTTCAAAGGAAACCGAGGCTAAGATAGCTGGAGGCAGTGGAGAGCATTGGAAACATGGCTGGATTTGGAGTCAGAGTGGATGGTTCCAAACTCAATTCTTCCATCCGCTATCTTTGTGACCTTGGACGAGTCACCTGTCTGGGCCTCAGATCTCCCACCTCCAAAATTAGTGGGGTGAACCCACTGACCTCACAGGTCCCTTCCAGGTCTTAAGCTATGATTTCATGACTAGGTTTAAATCTTAGCTCTTGTCTCCTGAAACCTTGTGATACTGGGTGAGCCACACGCCAATTCCTATGAGTCTCAGTTTCCCCCTCTGTAAAATGTTCTAAAAGGTTCATGATCCTGGGTACAGTGAGTTGATGAAGGGGACAATCGGTTACAGGCACTGAAACAAAGTCTTCAAACTACAGATTTTCACAACAGCAGGCAGCCCACCCGCCCTCCACACTCCTTGTCTCCATTCCCCTACCACTCTCCCCCTCTAGCTCTCGGAGTCACCCTGGGCAACTCCTTTTACGTCTCAACACCAATTCTTTCCTAGGAACCAACAAACATTTATACACACCTACCAGGCACCAGGGATACATGAATACCAAGCTGTCCATGCTCTGCAGAAGCTCACAGCCAGTCTATGGGGCAGCTTGCGTCAGTGGCTACCTACTCAGAAGTCCCTGAGGCTCCTAATTGAGGCTCTGACTGGAGCTGCCCTATCTCCTCTCCATCCCCATTCCAGGTGATCCCCCCATCCCTTCAAACTCACTTCTCCAGTAAAGGGCCGCTGCTCAGCAAAGTGCTACTTTTCCTTCTCTTCCAGGGAAGAAGAGGTGCCCGACGACACACTGAGAGAGGACAGCTCGGCCAAAGAGTTCTCCTGCCTATTAAGAGGGTTTGTTCTGAGGGGCAGGGCTGCATCAGATAAGAGGGTGGTGGGGACAGCCCGATGCTTCCTGACTGCTTGGCACAGGCAGCGCGGGGCAAGTGGCTCGGGGTCACTCCCCAGCTGCCACTCCTGGGGAACCAAGGAGGCTCTAGTCTTGATGCCAGCCAGGAAAGGGAGGGGACAGGACCCCAGGGCTCCTTAAAGGGAGCCTCTTCAGGCTGGCCTTGGCAAGACTAGGAAGGGCTTTGGATGCCCCGATGCACCAAAAGAGCCCTTCTCAAGGGGAGCACCTGACTGGACCGCCATGCCGTGGAACACGTGAGCTCGCGACTTTCTGGGTAACCAAATTCTCTGGCTGAGAAGACATCTCATCCCAACAAAAACCAACTAAGAAACCACAGCAATGCAACCAACAAACAAAAGCGGCATTCGTCTCAAGAGCGGTAGCTGAAAGAGCCAGATGCTGCTTCCCGAGCACAGCTCAGTCCCTGGCTCACCGTCAGGATTCTCTTTACTTAGTTAGTTCTACTTTTCCACATTCACTTTTGTAAGATTTTGAGTTCTAAATTCCTCCCCTACCCAAGACAGCAGGCAGTGGGATAGGTCTGAGCTGGAAGGGACCAGAGATCAGCTGGCCCATCACCAATCCATGGAGAGCATTCATCAGGCCCCTCCAGGCACCATGCTGTGTGCGCCGGGACAGAAGGTCAAAAGGAAACCATGCCTGCCTTCGAGGAGCTTACCTTCTACTAGAGGGAGACAACAAGTGCGTGCGTGTGTGTGTGCACGCATGCATGCGTGCGTGTGTGTGTGTGCATACGTGTGTGTGTGTGAGAATACGATACAAGGAACAAACACAAGGAGGGCATAAGCACATCAGGGGTAACTAAGACACAGGGACAGGCGCCACATTTGCCAAGGTGACAGACAGTAAGCCCTAGCACCTCCCATCAATACACGGCTCCCCGCTCCACAGCGTTCCGCCTCAGACCCAGAACCGGAAGGGACCCCAGAGGCCATTTAGTCCAGCACCCTCATATCGCAGATGGGGAGGGACTTAGTGACCCACCCAAGGTCGCTGGCAGAGACCAGATCTGAATGCAGATTGTGTGCTCTGACCACTGGACAGCACCGTCACCTCATTCCTCCTCCACTTAACCCTGATGGAGCCTTTTTTCTCTCACCACCTCCTCCTGAGAGCTGTGCTAAGGGAGCCCCAGAGGTTGGTTCTAAGAAGTCAGCTACACAACGTGGGTTTCAAGCCTCATGTGAGCATTTTGTCTGCCCTCAGCTACTGCAGCCTTGGGACCTGAGGAGTCCTGTTATGACCTGGTACCATGCCCGTGGCCATAAGCACCCCAGGCTCCTACGGCCTCTCCAGCCACCATCAAGTTTGAGCCCCACCTGAGTCCCAGGGGCCCTGGGTTTAGGACTAACCCTGCATTTGTGAATGTCTATCTCCCCCTCTCCTTGCTCAGAGAGATACTCGTCAAATGCTTGGCAAATAATCGGTGCTTAATAAATGCTTCTCTTCCCTCTTCTTCCCATCCTACACGACAAAGAATTTTAAGTTTTTTTAAAAGGAAAAAAAGGAAAAAGAAAAACTGTTCAGAAAAATTAACAATTTATCAAAAGAATCTGACATGCAGTATCCCACCCCCATGGTGCCCCACCCTCTCTAAGAAGACAAAGGGAAGATGTAATAAATTTTCCTAAAGATGACAGCAGAGCTTTTTAAAAAGGAGATGAGGAACAATGAAAAAGGCCCACAAAGCTGAGGTGTCCTGTTGGGCAATGTGAGCTCCCTTACTGATGACTTACATGACCTTTGGCAAAACTCTTCCCTTTTCTGGCAGTGCTTCCTGGAAGCCACGTCATACCAAGGAGATCCACCCAGGGTCCAGAAGGGATTTTCTGAATACAGGGCTCCTGATAAGGGACCACCAGGAAGAGACACGAGGGAACTGGGGCCAAGCTGTCGTAAAATCATAGGAGGTAAACCACAAGGGGCCGCTGGGCTGGTCCGGTCCAGCCCTTTCATCACACAGATGAGGCAACTAAGGCCCAGAGACATTAAGGGATTTGGGCAGGGGGACTGGAACCCAGATCCCCTGATTCCAAACCCAGCGTTCTTTGAACACCACCACAAACAGCAGGACCGGCCACCTGGTAGGCTGGATTTTCTTGGCCAAGACTGTCGCCTGTGAGTTGTTCTTATGCCCAGGCACTGCCCTCCACTTTCCCCCCCTCGATTTCCCCTTCCCCTCCCCCCACATCCTCCTTCCCCTCTCTTTCTCCCTCCCACTCCAGTCCTCTGCACCTATGCTGGCGATGAACCCAGGACTTGGGCCAGCCATTCATTCAAAAGATAAGGAAGAAGCAGTAACTTGTCCAAAATCAACAAAGTTCATGCAAGACCTGGGACCAGAATTCCAGGCTCCTAACTTTCATTTCTCTCAACCACACCATCTTATCAGTAGCAAATTAACGACCCTCCTGCCCCGGGGCTCACAATGCCTTGATGGGTGACTATCTAAGTGCAAACCCCTACGGCCTGCCATAGCTAGCCAGCCCCCACATGCCTCACTTTCCACTCGCCCTGCTGCCATGAATACAGTATATTAGTATGGCTCCTTCCCTGATGCTTGCCACCTCTTGCTCTGAGACTCCTAAACCAAATGCTGTCAAAAAGTCACCAAACTGGGCAGACCCTTTGACCCGGCATCACTCACCTCTACTAGTTGTTCCAAAAGCCTTACTGCGCTTCTAAGCTACCCCTACAATCTC